GCTGACATATGTCGTTCTTCAGCCTGGTAGTCCTGAAGTAATTGGTCGAGTTTGCGTGTTCGCGAGATCTTCGCCAAGATATGAGAAAAGCCGTAGGGGTTCGAAAATTATTTCTAAGGTTCCCCAAAAAGGCTCAGAATTGGTACATTAATGGTGCGCTAATGGCCAAAACTGAAAAAAAAAAAACTTTTACGAAGATTACTACATAGATCATTTTTTATTTAAAAAAACCGTAGTTGAAAATTGAAATTAAAACAATTTTGTTACAAAAAAAAAAACCAACATAACATATTAAAAAGAAAAATTTGTTACTAATAAAATTAATTCTTTTAAAAAAATTAACATATTTTTTGAACATACCTCAAATGCTTCCTTTCGATCGTCCTCGTCAAGGTAGACGGTTTTTGCGTGTATGTCGAAAACACCATTTACACATTTTAGAAAGAATTTAAATGTCCGATACCTGTCTTTCAACACCATGAACGTGATGTAGCATTCTTTAAAAGTCAGATTTGGATCGATTTCAGCCAAACAAGTATGGTAGATTTTCTCAAATGCCATGTCTACGTCAGCCTTGCTATCCAAGATTTTCTCAACACCATGAAGAAGGATGGTACAAATATTTTTTCAGCTGCAGGAAGCCATTTGTTTGAAAACACTTCTCGTATAAATTGGAAATGTTCATCCTTTGTCTTTGGCAATGCAAAATCCCACATGATTGTAAATAAATATGGAAATTTATATGTGTTGGTGTAGTGACCTTTGAGGGAAAAAGAAGCTGGTATATATAGGCCAAACTTGAAGGTGATAATTGATGTATAAATGTATCAATTGCCCCATTAAGATTTAAAAGAATTTTTTTTTTTATTTAAGAAAAAAATGTGTAAAAAAGTTAGTATGAAAAATATTTTACATGTCAATTTGGGACATCTATGACATACCACTCGACTAATAAAAATTGTAACGATTTTTTTATTTGATTGTACTTTAAATTTGAAAAAATAATTTATTTAACAAAAAGTCGTGTTACAAAGTTAGTATAAAAAATGTTGTATATGTCAATTAGTGAAAAAATATTTTTTTGTATTCAAATAATAATAATTAAATATCATCAGTGAAAAATATGACATATTAACTGTGACTAATAAAATTTGCAACAATTCCTTATTTGATTTCACTTAAAAGTTGAAAAAATAATTTATTTTACTAAAATTAGTATAAAAATAACTTGTATATGTCAATTACTGAACAAAAATTTGTATTCATAATAATAATAATAATAATAATAATAATAATAATAATAATAATAATAATAATAATAATAATAATAATAATTGTTATTATTATTATCTTATTTATGTCATTGGTTTTGTATATTTAAATATTTGTATTCATTATAATAATAATAATTAATATATTTATATTGACAGCTGGTTTTGTCATTGTATTTGTATAATAAATATTACTCGAATACTAATTATTGTTTAAATAATTGATTTAATAACAGTTAATATATATAAATTACATAAAGTAATATAAATAAATCGTACTTGGAAAAGTTCGGTATGGGAAAAAATATTTATTTCCACATCACTACATTACATTTTGATAAAGTTGATGAAAAGTGCTACAATAGTTAAAAAGCCAATTATGGCCAAAAAAACAACAAACACAAAATGGACATGCAACTAGAAGGAGTGACAATTTGTCAATAACAGTGTTTCTTTCCACATGTGACGTGCTGAGTAGTTGGACCCACGAGTCGTATGACGACTACTATTTGCAGTGGATTCTGCATTACTGAAAGTTTGACCACTTTCCCTTGCAGACGAAAATCCTGTTTGTTAGAATATATTTTGCATATATCTTGTAGGATTAGGTCTAGGCTCATTATGTTCCTATATATATGTGTACATGTCTTGTGAATAATATAGAACATATATTTTTCCCACTTTCTTACATGATATCATATTAGGTTTATAGTCTAATATATGGTTAGTATTTTTCGCTCATCTCTGGCCGTCTTCTATTCTCACCTCCCAGACCATCCTCTCCGGCATTTTCCGGCGAGCCGTCGGTCAAATTTTGGGCCCGTTCGGAGGTGCATGGGACCCACACTCACCGGAACATTGCGACAGTGCTGGCAGATTCAGCCGGCGCGTGAGATTCACCTCCAGCTCCGATCGCCGTGATTTTTCAGTCGTCGACTCCTCTCATCGGCAGCTACGTCCTGGTGTGGTCGGTTTTGGTTTTTGTGCCGTTTTTAATTTTGACCTTTTATTGCTATTTTATCCGGTTTGTGATCCAGTTCGTGATTTTCTTTCATCTTCATACTGTTGTTGGTTGCTGGTGCTTCTTTATTTTTTGGATATGGATTCTTCTATGGTGGTCTGCCACATTTGCCATGTTCAGGGTCATATTTCTCCATTCTGTCCGACGGTGGTGTGCCACATTTGCCATGTTCGGGGTCATATTGCTTTATATTGTCCAGCCAGATCACACCATTCGAGAGGTTCATTCTCTCGACATCATGGGTCTTCCTCTACCGCCACTTCTTCTGTTACAACGACTGTCACTACTGAGCCTCAGCATTCGTCTTACACTCTTCAAGACATAGAGGCTATTCTCAAACAGGTTCTTCTTTCCAATTCTTCTATGTCTGCTACCAGAGGTAAATCACATTGGTATTTTGATTCTGGCTGTTGCAATCACATGACCTCTAGCCCGCAGCTTTTGTCTTCCTCTTCTTCCGTAACCTCTTTACCTCCTATACATACTGCTAATGGTACCCTTATGAATGTTACTCACACTGGTTTGATTTCTTCCCCTTCCTTGCATCTTCCCAACACATATTGCATTCCTGACTTGGCCTTGAATCTTATTTATGTTGGTCAATTAGTTGACCAAGGTCTTAATGTTATATTTTCATCTTCTAGTGTTCAGGTTCATGATTCACAGACGAGATAGCTTCTCGGGAAAGGTTGCAAGATGGGCCTGTTATTTGAGCTTGAGTCACTTCATGTCCCTCGTTCTTACTCTTTTTCTGCTTCTGCCACCGACAGTAAGTCTAGTTTCCAGTGGCATCTTCGTCTTGGGCATGCGTCTTCGAATAAGGTTCGTTCTTTATATAATAAGGGTCTTTTGGGTTCAGGTCATTTTGAGTCTTTTAGTTGTCTTCATTGCAAACTTGGGAAACAACCGACTCTTTCTTTTTCTGATAGTTTGTCTACTGCTGATAAACCTTTCGATTTGGTACATTCTGATATTTGGGGTCCTTCTCCTGTTGCTTCTCTGAGTGGTTTTCGGTATTTTGTTATTTTTGTTGATGATTTTTCTCGTTTTACCTGGATCTATTTTCTCAAAAATCGTTCTGAGTTGTCCAGCATATATGTTCAATTTGCTAAAATGATTCTTACACAATTTTCTTGTCATATAAAGGTCTTGCGTACTGACAATGCTCTTGAGTACAAAGATTCTACTTTTTTAAAATTTCTTTCTGATCATGGCACCTTAGTTCAGCGTTCGTGTCCATGTACTTCCCAACAAAATGGACAAGCTGAACGTAAGAACCGTCACATTCTTGATACTGTTCGTGCTCTTTTTCTTTCTGCTCAGTTTCCTGATCATTTTTGGGGTGAGGCAGCCTTGACTGCTGTTTATGCTATCAATCAGTTACCCTCATCAGTCATTAGGGATGTCAGTCCTTTTGAGAGGTTGTACGGTCAGTCTCCTGATTATACTCAGTTACGTCCTTTTGTTTGTGCTTGCTTTGTTCTTCTTCCATCCCATGAGCGGACCAAATTAGAACCCCGAGCTTGTCTATGTTGTTTTTTGGGTTATGGGGTAGAACACAAAGGATTTATGTGTTGGGATCCGATTTCTAATCGGTTGCGTATCTCGCGTCATGTTACCTTTTGGGAGCATACTACTTTTTCCTCTTTGTATAAGTTCTACATTTCGTTTGATTCGGCGTCTCCTTTATTCATGTCTATTACTTCAGATCTTTTTCCAGATACAGATACAGGTTCTGACTCACAGCTCATTGACACGTCTGTCATGCCTCCGTCTTCTAGAGTGGCTCCATTTGTGCGTCATGAAACGATGGTTCGTAATGAGCCCTCTTCTGGTTCTGTACTTTTGCCCGCTATTGATCAGCGATGGTCGACTCGTGTAAGTCGTCCCCCTTCTCAATTACTTGATTATCATTGTTATTCGGCCATATTATCTCATCATGAGCCTAGGTCTTTTCGTGAGGTGAGTATTGATCC